CCCACATATTTAGGCCTTGAGGAACAAACATCAAGAATATCACCTGTAGGACAATCTGCATTGATGGACTCGGCACCCAAATGTACATGGGGCAGTTAAAAGTACCCGTAGCTAGCCATTTGGGAATCATTGGGTAGCCATAAATGAGATGGTCTACTACTCAAAATTGCCAAGCTGGATGAAAGAAAATACGTGGTTCACTTTGTCTTTACGTGCATCTTTATCCTTGCATATCTCAAGAAAAAATCTCAAGGTGTTCCAAATTCCCATCGAAAAACGGTGTCTTCTGGAAACTGGTGCTGTTAGGGGTTACAGTACCCAGTTTCAAGAAACAGCCTTGTGGACAACATCATCTTGGTCAAATGACTGTGCAATCTCTCAGTCCCATGATGGAGCGATACGCTTCGGGCGATTCTGCCGCTGGAACGGTGTAAGCACGGAAGCGGTAATCTTCTGGCGGATTGCAATTGAGATCTTTCTTGGTGATCCTGTAAGTGGTGATTTCCAAGCCTCAAATCACTGACACAATTTCTTCAGGAACATCTATGCAAACAACCATGGGGCTTCAATTAATAACCATCCAAAGATGGAGGTAAACTTCTGAACCTTCCCAGGTGTGTGGATCAAAGGTTGGGATATGTTGGGAGTTTACCTTGTGCTGGAAACTTGCATCATACTGCTAGTCAAAGTGGTGATCTATAGTGTGCCAAGCCAATCATTATGTCATTGGATCAAAAATGATCAACATGTAGCTGTTACGTATAAGTTATGAGTCCATTTTTGCAGAATCTGTCAAGATCTAAAAAGGCCATGGGGTTCTTTGGTGGTCGAGGCTCAAACTCTGTTCATTGATAGTATCGGGGGATGGAAAAACTTGAGCAAAAAATATGGTTTCGCCGGTTCGCCACTATCTTTTGCTGGCTGGAAGCCCCCAATGTTTGCTGCATGAAGCCAATCTGTCTTGCTACTTTGTAGATCTGTGTGTGTGTATGTATGTATGTGTGTATATATATATATATTATATATATGTCTCTATCCTTTTGGAATTGACACGGCAAGGCAGCGAAGATTGTCCATGCATTGCCCAAAAGTGCAGATGCAAATAGGGATGATGGTTTGCACATGGGAAAACACGGGAATATAACCAAGAATTGTGGAGATGTGACAACAAACAATGCTCAGCAGTTTCTTTCCATTTTGACATATTTCGACTATGTTCACAATGTTTGCCCAGCAGCTTTCAAGATCATCTCCCTCTTCGCCATGTTTCTCTAACTCGCGCTGCCATGGCTGACACCAGAGCTCAAAGAGCAGCTCGCTTTCCAACTGAAGATGTCGTGCCAAACGGATGGCCCAACGTAGCACGGGCTTGGCCAACTTGGCCGTGGGGCCTCTGAGGCATACAGTACTGAATTTTCCCTTGTGACCAGCTGCAGCTTCAATGACTGTCAGTGCTTTGTAGCCTTCTTCACCCACATAGCCCACCCGACTCACATAGAAGCGTTGGGCCTTTCCTCCAACGTGATTGTCCTTGCTCGGGGTAAGGGTCTTCCGGACGATCGAATCCACGGCCGGCGTGACCCGGCTTCCAGTACACCGCGAAATTGCTCTCAAGATGTGTTCGGGGACACCAATGATCACCGAGAGTCCACCTTTTTTTAATATTCGCTCTAGGGCCAGCTGAGACACAACTCCCTGGCAGATGAAGAGTTTGGGGCTTTCTGGCATTACATCTTTCGAGATCTTCTCCACCTTCAGATCCAAATAGATCTGTTCTTGATCTCGCAAGTTGTCCAAATCGGTCCGCACATTGTACTTGTCAAAGGTCAGGGGCATTTGAATCACTATCAGTGGACAGTTGTCAATGTCCGTCTCCATCTTCCGGTTCACCACATCGCTTGAAAAGACCACCCCATCATAGCACTTGGATTCTGAGATGTAACCACCTGAGACCCAGCCAAAGCAGATTCTGCTCATGATGCGGTTTGTATGGATTGTGAATCATGTTTGCTGGATTGGTGTAAGTGAAATTAACAGGAAACCATGGCTTTCCAGGGCCCTAGGGGATTCCTGCCAATTTTCCCTTCATCCAATTCTGAGATATATTAGAAATAGGTGAACTCATTGAGTATCTCATGGCATTCCATTGGTTGATTTTACATATCCAGGAATCGGCCCGGGACTTGAATCTTGACCCATAGCTGGATGGGCTGACTGCGCTTTGGTCCATCCAACTAGTCATCAGCGGATGGCTGGGGCCTGCCTGGGACCCTCTTCACCTTCACATACTTCAAGATATCCATCGAATCATCTGGCGTTGGTCGCTCCATTTGCTTCACCACCTGCTGAGCCAACTTACAAATCATGAAAACGTCCTGTTCCTCCAAGCCACCAACTTCCATGCAATAAGCCCGAACACTGGCCACGAAGCGACGAAATCCCGCGTCTGCCATCTCACGCCATTCATCTGCATGCGCCCCATGTTCCTCCTGTTTGCCCTCCAAAGCATCTCGAGGTTGGTACAAATGCTCCAAATATTCTTTGTCTCTATCCAATCCGAAATCCACGCGATTTTCGGTGTCCTCTTCATCTGAGGGACCATCATCGTCATTCTCCACACCATCATCCGGCACGTCTTCACCAGCATGTTCTACATCTCTGGTCTCTTGGGTCTCTTGCATGTTTCTCCCCATGTTGGAACGGTCAATCAAGTTGTCATCTACAAATTCTGTACACGCCTCGCACAAGCGAGACTTCTTCTCATTCGAGCGCCCAACCACCTCACTTTTTGAACCCGAAACAGAAATGACTAGGGCCCCAATGTCTTGCATCCTCGCAGGAAGCATCTTGCAGAATTGAGGCAGTAATTTGACATCTAGGAATTGTGACATGAGATCGAAAGACACGTGAAATCCAATGTTTCTAGTTTGAAGATGGTTTCTAGAGAATTATCCATGAAATGCTGGATGCAGCCTAGTAAAATCCATACACAACGAATTGTGTAAGAACCTCAGTCTTTGCTGCTGAATTGCCAAATTCGTGGGATCTTTTCAGGGTCTTGACAGGTTTTTGCCCTTCAGCCAAGGTGCAAAGCCCTCCACGTAATTGCTGCAGCAGTTGTTACAAAAGATTTGACCGCACAAACGACAATGATGTCGCCGACGGTACCAGCTGTTGAAAGACTCACCGCAGGCGAAACACTTGGTGCATTTCCTAAGGGCACCAGTAAGGCACTGGTCGAAGTGCCCAGGAAGTGGATGGAAACAAAAGGCCATGGTTTTTAATTAACACATTTTAACACCAGTTGTAATGGGTTCCTGCAAATTTTCCCTACCGATTCAAACATCTGGAGGGATCAACTAACAGTAACAAAACGAAAAACAGAGACCAATAGACTGGATTCAAATAAATCAAACAAATCGTGGATTTGCCAAAGAGCACCTGCAAAAGGTGAAAGGTGCATTTCATCATTCTTAAGTTTTGTTGAAACCGTTCATCTGAACCACAAGAAAAAAAGGCTGCAGTCTGCAGCGCTCAAAAACTGAATCAATAATGGAATGATATCCACGATAACCAAGAATACAGTACGTGTCGAATGGATACTTTACCAACTGCAAGCGTAACAAGCTGTGGGCATGTCACACTCCGAGTTCCAATCAAATTCCCAACAAAATGAGTTGCACACACTTGATCAGAACTGTCGTTGAGAATTGTGCTGCGAAATGCATGAGACGTGCAAAAAAACACCAACAACAACACAACACGATGAGATGAACCTCTATATATAGAATCACAGTAGACGCTGACAGTTTTTTAAACAACAGCGATAATATTTTTTTTTTTTCCCGCCAGCTGCGACTTAGATGCGCCCAGGGGCGGGACTATACATGTATATATATAATATAATGCAGGTACGTTTTCACAGGAACATTGCAGCGTCTTCGTTGGCCGCTGGCTGCAATGTTCCCCAGCGGCCCCCTGCAGCAAAAAGAAGTTTTACATCTGTTCAGATGGTACATACGCACACACACACACACCCTGCCGCAGCAGGGTAAGTGAAATGGAAATGAAAATGAGACGACAGTGAGCATGAAATGACACCTTACCTAACCGGAACACGAGACGGGGAACGCAAAAGAAGAAAGGAAAAAAGGAGAAACACCAACACACCTAGCCCAAAACGGGCGAACCCTGAAAGGGCAAGGGAAAAGAAAAGGCGAAAGGACGACGGGACAAAAACCGACCAGAGGCAGGGGAGGCGGACAGAAGCGCCTGACACAACCTACAAGGCGAGAGCCAAACCTACCTCGGCACGCAAAGGACCCCAACCTGACATAACACGGGAGCACGCATGAAATAGGGGACCCATGGGGAACTAGTTACAAAAAGATGCATCCACAGGTAAGTGCAAAATGTCGTGATAAGGCTCAAGGCCCTCGGTGGTCGGTTCAACCCTACACACGGCTGTCAGTAGTCCCCGCTGAATACAATGCACAATCTCACCAACGATCAAAAAAAAAGAGTTACCATACCTGGAACCTGGAAGCATGTCCTGATACCTTACCTGAAAATCCATGTTGAATGTGCAGTCAAAAGCTGAAATGTCTCTGGAGCAACGTTGAAAAAGGAAGGTTGGCGCAGCTGACATCTACAAACGCACAAAGATCCAGTGAAAAAGGTGAAGCCCGACACTGCGGCCAGCTGTTTAATAAATCGACAGGCGACAGGTGAGACCCGAAAAATGGCCAACTGTTTCACTTGACTTAAACGAATTACTGGATTAAAAACTGTAAATTCAGAGATCAAGTCGAAGGATCCAACATCCTACCTGGAAAGGTATTCCCCGAGGGGCTCACGGCATCTTGTCGAACCGACGTGAGTAACACACTTGATCAGAACTGTCGTTGCGAATTTTGCTGCGGAATGCATCAGACATGCAAAAAACACCAACAACAACATAACACGATGAGATGAACCTCTATATATAGAATCACAGTAGACGTTGACAGTGTAAAACAACAGCGATATTTTTTTTTTTTTTCCCGCCAGCTGCGACTTAGATGCGCCCAGGGGCGGGACTATACATGTATATATATATAATATAATGCAGGTACGTTTTCACAGGAACATTGCAGCGTCTTCGTTGGCCGCTGGCTGCAATGTTCCCCAGCGGCCCCCTGCAGCAAAAAGAAGTTTTACATCTATTCAGATGGTACGCACACACACAAAAGAAAGAATGTTGGACATGCGTAACTCTTAACGGTCTGAATGACAAGCTATGTGGCCCCCGAATTTGTCCATTGACTAGCAAGCCAGTACATAGCTGGTCATCATCTCCTTTGTTTTGTTCTTTGCCAAATATCCCCATGATATCACCATGGATCTCATGATACTTGGCGCAATATCTTCACTGAAAGGTTGGTCCCCATCGCATCCCCGCAATATGCCATCATCCATCGTCGTGATAACAACAATACTCGCACAAATTTATACATATTCATACTCTATATATACATATATATAATATCTATCTATCTATATATATATATATATATATTGTGTATATATCCTATCATATGCACATGAAATCACTATGCCATCTCTATCTTTTTTTCACAAATCCCCAGGTCATACTCCATATCCACATGATTTCCATCGTCATATCAGACATCAGGCTCCCAGCCATTTGGGTATGGATCAAACATGGCGCGCCAATGAATGAGATTTGATGTTTTTCATGTTTCATGTTTAAGTGTATGAAACCATCCGTTCTAGGTTGGTACAAGTATCAAACCATCCATCACTATGATGATGCTTTTAGTTTTTAAGTACCAAGTATTGAACCATATAACCGTCCAATTAATATGTGATTTTCCTAAAACATCCGACAATTTTGAACCATGGACCCATCTTTCAAGAAATCCATAAATACATCGCCACCAAGTCACTCATCGGGCATCCAGCGGCAATCGCCCCGAGACCAGGCATCGTCCAGCACCCTGCGCTCCTGTTCGCGACCAAAAGGCCAGAGCAAGGTCCTGAACCTGCGTGGTGGCAGTGGTGGATGTGATCAACCAAGGGGATTTTGATTTAAACATCAAAAACTGGGACTTAATCAATGAACAGTGGCTCTCTTGTATTGGTAAGGTTTGATGCACCAATATATAATATATGATGTATAATATATCATATATCGAATATAGTATATCATATATCATGTATCAAATAAAATATACAATATATCAAATATCATATATCCTATAAAAAAAAAATCTAATATATCATATATAAATTATAATATATCATATAATATATATATATATATACCATATATAAAATATAATATTATATATATATACAATATGTATATAATATATAAAATATCAAATATAAAATATAATCTAATTTATCTATATAATATCCGCCGGCCCCGGCCTTTGCCAAGGCAGGGGCGGCGGCGGCGCCTGGGACCACCGGAGGTGTGGAACTTGGCTCTTTCGTCGCTTCCCACGGCAACAATGGCATCCCAACTCCGCAGGCAAAGACACCAAAGCCACCCTCCAAACGCTCAAAATGCCTTTTTGGCACCCCCAACCCCGCAGGCCACATCAATAGCTTTTTCTTGCCGTTCAAGCCTGCCGTTTGCCAGGCCTCAAACACTCCAAAGGCTCCAAACTCTTTTTTGGCACCCCCAACCCCGCAGGCAAAGACGCCAAAGCCACCCTCCAAACGCTCCAAATGCCTTTTTGGGACCCCAACCCCGCAGGCAAAGACACCAAAGCCACCCTCCAAACGCTCCAAACGCTTTTTTGGCACTCCCAACCCCACAGGCAAAGACATCAAGGCCACATCAATATAGCTTTTTCTTGGCGATCAAGCCTGCCGTTTGCCAGGCCTCAAACCCTCCAAACCCTCCAAACCCTCCAAATGCCTTTTTGGCGCCCCCAACCCCGCAGGCAAAGGCACCAGGGCCCCATCAATAGCTTTTTCTTGGCGATCAAGCGTGCCGTTTGCCAGGCCTCAAACCCTCCAAACCTTCCAAACGCCTTTTTGGCACCCCGAACCCTGCAGGCAAAGACGCCAAAGCCACCCTCCAAACGCTCCAAACGTTCAAGCCTGCCGTTTGCCAGGCCTCAAACCCTCCAAACCCTCCAAACCCTCCAAATGCCTTTTTGGCACCCTCAACCCCGCAGGCCAAGACATCAAGGCCACATCAATTCCTTTTTGGCACCCCCAACCCTGCAGGCAAAGGCACCAGGGCCCCATCAATAGCTTTTTCTTGGCGTTCAAGCGTGCCGTTTGCCAGGCCTCAAACACTCCAAATGCTCCAAACTCTTTTTTGGCACCCCCATCCCCGCAGGCAAAGACACCAAAGCCACCCTCCAAACGCTCCCAATGCCTTTTTGGCACTGCCAACCCCGCAGGCAATGACATCAAGGCCACATCAATAACTTTGTCTTGGCGTTCAAGCCTGCCGTTTCCCAGGCCTCAAACCCTCCAAACCCTCCAAACTCCCCAAACCCTCCAAACCCTCCAAATGCCTTTTTGACACCCCCAACCCCGCAGGCAAAGGCACCAGGGCTCCATCAAGAGTTTTTTCTTAACAAACGACAGTTCAATCATGCAATCCCGCCCTCACCTGCCCTGTTTTGATGGCTGAATGCCCGCCTTCTCGTGCGTGGCCACTGATCCAGGGTGCCTGGGTGCTTCCATGTGCCAGCCCAGTACCTGGCACCAGTGAGATGTGTGAGGCACTGGCTGCACAATGCCAAGCCAGGCTCACCACCACCACCACTTAATTAAGGGTGGCACTTGTGCCAATGCGGTGGGGGGGAATTAAGTGGGACCAAATTTGGGGTTACTTTGAGCCAAAATGGTACCCCACATTTAAACAATCATCATCCCCCCCGGTCCACCCAAGGATGAAATCTCTGTCTTTTGTTAATTCGGCCATTCTGCCCTTCTCAACAAACGACAGTTCAATCATGCAATCCCGCCCTCACCTGCCCTGTTTTGATGGCTGAATGCCCGCCTTCTCGTGCGTGGCCACTGATCCAGGGTGCCTGGGTGCTTCCATGTGCCAGCCCAGTACCTGGCACCAGTGAGATGTGTGATGCACTGGCTGCACAATGCCAAGCCAGGCTCACCACCACCAATTCACACATCGAACAAGGCAGCTGACAGGATTGCACTGTTTCAGGCCTAAAATTGCAGGTGCTTCTGGCAAGCCGGTGTTTCACACTTGGCATACGTTTCACTACAAATGTTCGTCAACAAGAAATCTTTCGAATTTCTAAACTCAAAGCCACACGCAGCAGAAAACGCGTTCTTGACAAAATGAATTTTGTTGGAACCTCTGTTCCATACAAATCTAGGGAGGAAACTCCGTGTCAACTCTGCCGCCCATTGCTCTTTCACTTGAAATTCCTTTTGTCGGAAATCTTCTAGAATCGCCTTTGCCTCTTCCTTGGTCTCATGCAGCTCATTCAATGCAATCGACATGCGTGCTTCTAAAGTTTCAATCACCAGGGCCTCTATTTCTTGGTGGGCCACTTCAAGCGACCTTTTGTTCAACTTTTCATAAACATAGAAAATGATCTCCTCCAATGAAAGGGATTCGTTAGCAGTGTCTTCGCTGAGCCAGGTTTCAGAACTTTCTAAAGGAATGTCTCGCAAGTATTTCAATACCGTAGAACTTTCCCATCTGCAAAACAATTGGATTCGAAAAAGCTCAATGCCATGACGTGCCATGTGTTGTGCACCCGTCGGCCTCAACGCATGGCCGGTGAGGGCGCTTGCCTCTTCTTCTGTCCATCCAAGATGCAAAGCCACCTTGCGAAAGGTGGCTACCATGGCCGCTTTTGTTGGAGCCTTGGATGTGTCAGTGATCAAGAACGGATCTTCTGGCTTGTCTGCTCCTTGCGCAGCCCCAGCGTCTAAAATCCTTCTGGCTGCTGCAGTCGGGCAAAGTTTGCGTGAAGTAGAGCAGAGACAACCTTGACGCCTTGTGACCCCGGCCCCTCTAGGATCAGTTTTGCTGGCCGGCAGTTGTAAAGCTACCGTCCCACAGCCGGGCCCCTCTTCCAGGACCACCTGTGATCGCAAACGAAGAGCTGCTTCTATTTCTCGGCATGCAAACAAGGAGAAAAGGATGACCGTGTCCACCGGTCGCAAGGGGCCACCTGGAACTGGCTCAATCTCCGGGACGTCCTCAAACTTTCTCAAGTCAAAACTGGGGCACACCTTATCTGGGCCCTTTCCTCTTTCACAGGATCTGACCGCGTCCCGTGTGGCCAGCTGAAGCTGGTCGTTCCAGGGGTGGCCAGCCTGTACGTGCTCACGCTTCATGGCTGCAAAATACTGGGCGCTGCTGCGGTAGCCCGCAGCCTTCAGCAATGCCCCAGCATAGTCAATAGATGATTTTGTCAATGGGTAAGCATCCATGCCAGCATTTTGCGCCCGTTGAAGCCACCATTGAGATCTGGATTTGTACGCGGGCGCATTGGAGTTGGCAAACTTGCCCTCGTCAAATTCTTGTAAAGCTGTTCTGACTGCTTCAGCATCCTGTTCCAACCGGCCAACTTTGGTTTGCGATCCCCTACTGTAAGGGTGTACAGTTGGTTCTGTGGGCCGCAGCTTAGCCGGGACCGGAGGCCGCTCCATCATGGCTGCCCCAGGTGGCACTTGGAGCGACTGTGCTTGCTCTGCAAACTGTCTGGCCAGGGCTGAAGCTGAGAAAACTCTTGCCTCCCCATCCTCCATTTTGGAGCCCTCACTATCTGACGGTGTCTGCTGTCCTTCTTGGTCAGCAGGTTGTTCAGCCATAAAATTCCCAGCATACCTGCTGCCAAGTGGACAGATATGTTGGAGAGCACAAGACGAATGGATGGGGCCTGCATCGCAGTGAGGACAAAGTATGGACGATTGCTCTTTTCTCACAGTGTTGCCACATTCAGTGCAAGCATACTGCATTGGGAGAATGCCAGTGTCTACAAGTTGTTGTGTCGCCGACACTCCCGAATTTTCACTAGGAACCACCGGTTGGGCGTGCAGCCCTGCCATGGCTTTGAAATCTGATCGGTCTGGTTCATCTCTTAAACGCTTCATTTTGGGCCTGAAAAAGAAACCTCAAACCTGGAGTTTTTTTTTGCTGCAGGATGCCGACAACGCGATGTAAGGAAACAGAATGGAGAGAAAACCAAACACATCAAGGCACAAGCAACTGTCAAGTCAGAACACTAACAAGCAGAAAGCTCCTAAGTAAAGGCCATGTTCACTCGCGAAGGGACATGAAAACACCCAAGATGGTTGACAGCATGCAGAAATGTCATGTTCAAGAGTCCGAGTCCAGTGAATGTCCAACTTGTCGCTTCAGACGCTGTCATGCTCCCCCTTTTTTTTTGTGTGTGTGTGTGTTCGTGTGTGATCACCCGTGGTGTGTGTGTGTGCGCGTGTGTGTGACACGGCGGCTGTGCAGGGGACACCCTCACCACAGCCCGCCCCTTCACCCTGAATCAATCAGGCCTGGCGCACTTGTTGTGGTTGGGATCGTCGCGATCCTGCCTGAGAGCCGGAGCGCAACCCTACTGGTTCAAAGAAACCCTGGCTTGTGCTTGACTTGATGCAAACGCTAACTCAGCACAAAGGATATCCATGCACCCTGTTCACTCAAAACGCCAAAGGTTTGGTGGATCCACCACCTGTGGGACACTCCGCAACTCTGGTGGGCACTCTCCCCTTGAGAGTTGGTCAGCCCATACGTTATCTTCGCTCCAGACATGCAGTGCCTCTAAAGAAGTGAAATTCAAAGCAAGGTGTAAAGCTATCTCACGCACTACTCTGTTTAACAGGGGTGCGTTGGCTGATCTTTTGATGAGTGATGCCAAAACACCTTGTGCGTCACCTCGCACCCTGACAAACCCTTGCATTGCCGCAGTCATCCAACACTGGAGGCTTCTCAGCATCATGTAACCCTCCCACAGGGCTTGCGAACCTGCATCTCCTATTTTTGCTCCAGTGAGCTCTTCATCTCGCCTTGTCCATT